CACATGAAATTAGTTAGTGGGCATTCGTGCGATTTACTAGAAGCGGTACACTCCACAGAAACATGTGATGACCATTATCTCCAAACTTTCCTTCCACCCTTGCGGATAAATATTCCGATTTTGCGGCAGTTTCAGGCCAAGACCGCTATTATTTCGCCGGGAGGCTCATGTATTACTTCTAACTGTGTGTATCAACTGTCAGGGGACCGTTATGGGTGTCGGGTCCCCTGCTTATGTCCCAGTCTGCTCCGGAGAGGCAGAGATAGCCACAGATTGTTTTAGAACTGAGGCCTGGAATGGTGGCCCGCTCAAATGTTTTGCAGACGATCCCATCAACCGCTCAAGGAGTATCTAGGGCGCCATATGTACATGTGATGATGGTGGTATCTACTTACGCTTTTGCCTATCCATACACGATCAGGAGTCCTGTCTGCCGCATGAATCGAGGTGTTCTTAATGACCGCAGCGTTTGTACAATCTTCGTTTATCGATTACAACATGCGTGCCCTACACGTCGGGAGGTAGCCAGGTTTCTGCCACTAGAAGCATGTCCGCTGCTTCTAAAGTACTGCAGTTCAAAGGGTTGATCCTTTACTTGGTACGGATTGCGCGTTAAAGATCGGTAGCCTTTGGTACAAGAAGTATTGTGGGTATAAAGCGAGAGAAGTGAAGCCGCCGTCTGTCAGTGGTTCCCGAGCATGCTGATACACTTTTCATCTTCTCCAAACTCCTCTCCAGCTGTACCGCACATGGGTAGTAGGTGTGCTGCCAGTTGATGTCGCCGCTAATTATGACAGGGGGAGATGATGCCGTTCGGCGCACGCCTTATCCCAGGCTTCGTCGTAGTTTAGGGTGTCATCAGCAGGGCAATTAGTGGGTTCGACAGTATGAAGAGTGACATGTGGAAAAAACTGGACTATGTAGTGATGTCACCCGGGGGTGCGGTGGTTTGAGGACCAAGAGTGGCTCACGTATGAGTTGTGTTATACAGAATGGAGTATTTGCATTCACATCGCACCCTAGTTCCCTAATTTCAAATCAGTATTGATGTGTTGTGTTATTACACCTACCGGTCAAGTGGGTAGAGTACTTTCTTGTGTCCCTGAATGGCATATTTATCTCTTCGATTACTCTTTAAATGGCTCGAATGCTCCAAGTGCTGACTGACGAGACAGAAGAAGCTTTCGCTTAACCCGCCTCCTTGTCTAGAATTCATTAACCACCAGTCCCTATGGTTGTTAACCTGTTGACGAGTGAAGAGAGCAGAAAGCGACGGTTCAAAGTTGAAAATTCAGTTTGTTCTGAGCAGACCCCACCCACACCCAAATAAATATGGGCTGCCGTTCGAAGAACTCGAATAAAGTAGCCTGGATTAGGTCAGCAGGAAGGGAACTTCAGGGGCTAGCAACCCTTCGCCACTGGTTGTATCTGATATCTGACCTCCTACTTTCCAGGCTAAATTTTTGTATATATCCCTTAAGCTCGATGCTACAAACAAGGGTTGAAAGGTGACAAAATGGGTATCCGGGGTTTTTGAAGATGTGAGCCGCTATTAGGTCCCCATAGGTCTCTTACATTACAGAGAACATGGATCAAGCGCAACCACGCGCGTATCTATTTCTTTCGGTCTGCAGAATGTGGCTCCTTCTGGCAGCCTCTTTTGAAGCCTTACGCATTGTGCATGTAATACTGTCTTCTTTCAAAATGACAGGTGAGTTTGTCACTCTGGTCTTTGACCTTTTGTGGTTGCTAGTTCAAAAATAAGTCCTGTATTGTGGCATGGCGAGTTTCGTCTTTGCAGTTCTAGGGTGCGGCGCGACTCATTGTTTGGTTGGAGAGAGGCGACACCGAATGTGCACACAGTGTGTTTGCCACTATCAGGGGAAACGGAACCCATTTTTCCTAACATGGTGGCAGGCGAACTGATAGGCTGCTGTTCAAGCTTTATTTCGATATTCGTTTTCTGACAGTTATAGGTTGTCAGTGGGGTCTCACGTGCTGGTTCACAACCAGTGGCGCCCAGTTTAAGACCGTTAGACTCAAATATTTCATTGACGGCAGGTCTGATGAGGATTTCTTTATCTTTAGACGTATCGCTTCTTCCCCAATTCGTAGTGGCACACTATTGTTGAGCACAACCTGATGTTTACTACTTTCTCTCTGGAGTCAAGTTCCATTGTAGACTGTTTTAACGTGTTTGAACGTACATTTGAGCCTAACACCATTTCTTGACGAAAAATTGCTTTTAGTTAAGAAATGTTGTAAGTGGCAAAAGATGGAGCATGTAGATCGTGAAGTGATCTTTTCAGCCTTTTGACAATTACATGGAACTAATCACCTTCCACAAGCGTTTGAGACAATACATCTGTCCTTCTTCAGTTTTATACCTCTTGATGGCATGGTAAACTATCTCTTATACTAGTGTTAGGGATTAGAGAACCTTTAGTACGGTGAAGTCGACTGAAGTTACGGCCTACTGTAATTTTTCAGTGTCCATATTGCTGTGAGGAGCAAAAGGACAAACGATCGTTAATGGTTATTCAAGCCAAGTTGCTGTTTTTATTCAGAGACCTATTGCAAACGTGGATAAACTCGTTCTCTAAAGACAGAACTCAAGTGGTGGAATTTAGTTTCTTCTGATCCTTCCCTAGGCTTCTTTTGAGAGGCGTCATTCGAAGAAAAGTTTTAGGGCCATAACTGTATCCCCTTCACATGAGCAGTTTCTGTGACGTAAAGAACTACAGCAAGATTTGTCAGCTTACTGAAGATCTAAAAATTGGATGTATCCCCCTCTGTCAGCACTGTGTGGAGGCCTAAATCAAATCAAGGATGACTCAACCAGTTTGTTCACTGAGGGTGAAATCTGGCAACTTTCACCTAGCTCAAGTATATGCGTGATTGTCTATTTAAATAACTCCTCCCCCAACGTTAGTTCTCACCCTGGCAAGTGTGCGTTTTAATTGCAGAACTTCGTACATGATTTAGATGTCGTTTAACCTGGTAACATGGCGTTTGCGAAATGTACCCAGTTCGTTGTATCCAAGAGTAAGTAGTTGGTTGGCCCTTTTCTTAAACATTTATACACCACTGAAGATGAACTCCTTCACTTCAGAGCGATGACCCTGCTAGTGCTTGAGTGAGACCCGGCGATTTCTGGCAGCATGTCCTGCAGATACGATACGGAATCAGACCGTCTAAAGGATATTTACTTGTTTTCTACAAAGCCGTTATGAGAAACTTGACCAGGAGGGAATGTTTACGAAGCTAGTGAATGGCCGGCTGTAGATAGGACACATTGGACCTAACTCTACCTCGTTTCTTCCCCTTTCGCATGGCGTCATTCATGCTGGCTGCTGTTACTATTAAACTGATGCCCTCATAAAAGTTTTGCAATCACTAGTATACTGTGGCTATTGGAAATGCTGCCTCAAAGTTGGATCATGGCTTTTCAATATACGGCACAGAAGTTTATGGAACGAAGTCTGGTTTCTTGCTTGTACTTGGGAGTTGTCCTTTAAACTCCAATCTCTCAATAGCACTGCGGTGACCAGCATTTGGTTTGTGAGGTCGCATTGACCTTTCGACTTCTTCACGCTAGTTTCTGGGTCTTGCATAACGGTTTCAGGCCTTTGCCTGATTTCGGTACGGAAAATCCACTCACTCACCTGTTGTAACTCTTGCAAAACCAGTGAATGGTTCAGCGCCGGCCAATTTTTTTGATAGGTGTACGGTTTGTTCTTGGGCTGTGTTGCACCATAGCCAGAAATTCTCTCAGGTCCTAGAAAGGGGAAAAAGAGACAAAAGATAATCATAGGAAATAAATGAAAGAAAATTGAAAAACAGATGTGGAATAATTGGGGAGAAGGGAAAGAAAGTAGCTGGGCGAAATGAAAGACTTCAGTATGGGATAGAGCTCTGATACATGATGGTTCCTCACACCAGATTGTCACCACTGTCAGGAAACTTCGTACCTGTGAAGGAACACGAAAAATCAATGTTTAACTTGGCGTTCATTATTTGGACGTGATGTAAGATCTTTTTGTTTCGGCCTGGGGATAGCCACTTCCTGGGATGAAGAAGAGATGGTAAACAACAATACCAAGGATGAGTCACGACCGCCTTGCATTCCCTACGTGGACACAACCTTCTCACTATGCTTGTTTTGCATGTAGTTTAAGGTTTGGAAGATTTTGCGGTCCTTTACTTCCAGATTCGTAAGACGCGTCAGCGGAAGTTTCAGTCTTTTTACCAACCATTCGAAACTATTTAAATAATATGTGCTAAGAGATATCGGGTGCTGAAATACTTTATCACTAATTTCAAAAGGACACCCATGGAAGCAGAATCCAGTGGGGGAAATGAAGATGTACAAAGGTGATCAATGCATAAGATACAACCTCTGAAATTCAAAAACTTGTCGTCCACTTTGTTCACACTGGATAAGTACCTGAGCAAAAAAGGCTTACCACAAACATTTGTCGGTGGCAACTGAAGGCAGGTTCATCCACACTTTTATTCCCCCAGCTTAATTTCTGCAGTAAGGCGCATCCCTTCTCCATAACATTGCCAGAAACACTTATTTTTCCATGAGTAGTTTCCCCCCCGCCACTCGACCTTTTTCTCTCACTGCTTTTCAAATAATGTATGATACTTACTTGAAGATGCTTACAAAAGCATACATTTCAAAACGTTGCCTGGTCTTATCAGCAGTTCCGCTGTCCCCCAAACAAATCAAGCTACTATTTGTAAGAAAAAATACTTTCAAATAGACAATCAATACTTCCAAAGCTATAAGTAAGAAAGTTGTAAATACTCCTGCTACCACCGAAGTTCTGTTACCGAACGAAAAGGACCGGGCCCCAAGACGTAGAAGCAAGAACTCAAAGACAACAAGTTTCCTCTATACTCACTATTGAGGTTGTATGTTGTACATGGGTTAAGGTGAATAGTGGAGACCTTGATAATACTGACCGCTCGATCCAACTTCGTTTTGTTATCAGATGAGTGCGAGAGTTGGTAGTGTGATAGTCATAACACTTTTCGCTCTGAATAGCGTTCAGGTAAGCTTTGTTGTGTGTGGAACTTTGTTCTGGGTTAAACACTCGGAAAAATTCCCCTATTTCAACTTCAAAATGCTGACTATCGTTTGTTTGGAAACAATCTTGGGGAAATGCGGGGCTGAACTCAGGGAAATATTGCGCAAGCCCGCGTTTTGCCTCGTGTTTTCATGGCAGTCTGAAACGTAACCCCTAGTTTTGTCGCGCGAAAATGTTGATTGAGAATTCTACGACTATAATTCTTCTCAATCTTTAGTAGTAGTCATAGTAGGAAAACAGCATTGTGTTACTCCCTGCAAGAGGTCTCTTTGTGAGAATCTGGTTTCTCTTTGGATGCATTCAACAAAGGAGCTGGTATATTGATATGTCCTTTGATCAGTGGCGGAGTCCTGGTGGTCGACCACTCTGTCAGGATAGTAGACTCATGCTTTTTTATCTGACCACGGTTTTTAAATTTTGTATCCTCGAAGGTGATCTATCCTAGAGGGGGGGGGGGAGTAAGATATTAATCCCGACCACGTTAAAAATAAAGAATACTAGAACTAAGTCCCTTTTTGTCGGACTATAGTGCGAAGAAAAGTTTATTCTGTCTAAACGGTCCTTATAGGATTCATTAGACAGACCAGCTACCAACTTCCAAGTCCTTAGACGTGCTCTAGTGCTTTGGCATACTTAATGAAACAAGGACTAGACGATAGAATGCAACATTCGAGATAGTCGCACAAGTGTGGGGTACAGTATTCAAAACATGTCTTCACCAGAGCATCTGAATGCTGTGCGAAGAAACAAGATTACTGGGGATTCTTTTGCGGCGACCTCAGTGCAGTTTGTAGAAGTTGTGACTAATTATAACTCCCAGGTCTTCAATTTTTTGAACATCAGGTACTGATACCTATCTCTTAGATGGTGTTGACAGCTGCTATAACCAATATGCATAACTGCATGCTGGCTAGAATTAATTTCTAAATACCAATGTTTGGACCACTTGACTAGTTCATTTAGGTTTTTCGTTATCCTTATGGATCTTCCATATTTTCATGTCACCAAACAATAGCATCAGTGACAACCACACCCATAAGTTTATTTACATAGAGCAGAAGAAGGAGTAGACCCAAGACTGTTCCTTGGGAGACCCCACTCCGTGCAGGTTGCAACTTACCTAATGTTTCATTCACTGTCAGTGTCTCCTGTTGCACAGAAATTATTGAATGCAGACTTGCATTATAGTGTCAAGTTCGGAACTTGAGGGCTTCTTCATCAGTCCAGAGTTCGAAACCCCGTCGAAAGTTCTGCTGGAGCTACTAAACACAACAACTAGGAGAATTTCGTCACGAGCTGCTACCCATTCCCTTGTTATGAGGTTATTTGGACCAGATCGATCAGCGCGAAACGTGTATGGAGATTTGTAAAGACTAGTTTTTTGTACGGCTGAGCATTCTGTGTTTGATAATCTTCTCAAGTACTTTAATAAATATTCTAGTTACGCTGACAGGACTATAACTCGATACCAGTTGTCTACTACCTGCCTTAAAAACTGAGCTGATTATAACATATTTTCAATTTATTGGAAACCGAATCGGAAGCAGTCAGCAAGCTGACTGACTGACGAAATCAACATAGAACCTCGCACAGGTGTGCATCTGTTCAAGTCGCCGCACCTCACAGAAGTACACAAAAAATAGGCAAATGAAAAAAAGTGATATCAAAGTAGACAAAATTGTATGAGAGAATAAACGATCTGAAGATAAAGGTTAATGTGAATATTCAAGCTTTAAAAGACATCAAAGAGTGGATACATCCGCCCCATTGTGACCGATGAGAAAGATAGTGGTAAAGTGTAACCGTACACAGCTGTTTAGACTTATCAAGGATGCTAGGGCAAAAAGTTCGGCGGTTAGTGAGACTGGTGGAGAAGGATAGATCTGAGATTCACACTCAGAGATGACTGGGACAACGGGAGGAGCTCTTGGACGAACAGTTCAATTGACATCCAGCTACTATTCCGTTGGTCGCTATCCAGCCGGATGCTGAATGCGACATCAAGATAGAGTCTCTAACACTCAGTAGTCGAGAAAGCTGTAAGCAATCTGAAAAAAGAAAGCACAACAGGATCGGATGGACTATTACCTGAGGTGGTTTTCAAGGACAGTAGTCGCAGTTTGGATTAATTTAATTGAATGAAATGTTATGTAATATATTAGGGTCAGGTATGATGTCCTCTAACAGGTCTCAATCATTGGTTGTCCCGGTCGTCAAGAAAGGTGAGAAACCCTCTCAAGGTAACCAAAGTGAAATTAGTCTGAAGAAACAGCGTCTAAGGTTCTGGGTTTTATAGTTATCAAAAGTCTATGTGATAAGAGAAAACCAGGCAGGTTTCAAACCCCGTTTGGACTTCTTGACCAGATATTCTCCGCCAGGCTTACGTATCGACACCCGACATTAACTGTATTTCTTAACGTGAAGTCGGCATTCGACTCTATCGATCTAGGTTTTTATAGTGAAGTCATACAACAATGGGGCACCGGTAAAGAGCATTATCCTATTGAAGGCTTTTTATTCGAACACCCGTGGACGCGTTAGTACTTGTCGTGTTAGCTATGCACGTCGAGTGGTTTCCGTCAAGCATGTCCACTCTCCATTGTTATTTAGTTTTTTTTTTCACAGGCATACTTATGAGAATGTTTGAAATGCGTTTCTCACTATCTGAATGCAAATTCTTGATGCAGAACTGGTTCTCTTTGGTGCCTTTCCTAACATTTGGGAGTGAAGTGGTTGAGTGCGTTGGCCACTTCACTTACCTGGGAAGTTGGATCAACTCTTGTAGGTCAATGACCGGTGAAATCTCGGCACTAATACGAAAGGTTGACTTGGCCCTTGCGGGTTTAAGTCATGTATTTAGCTTGGAGGTTTTCGGGAATTTATTGATGACAACGTGGTATTTATCACGGACTAACATCAGTATATATTTGTCGCTGTAATATCCGATTTCCTTTTAAATGACAGTGTACTACGCTGTAGTTCGCTTTACTCTACTATATGACTGAAGCATAGCTCTTCACGGTCAAAGACATGAGGTAGCTTCAGGTGTAGTTTCAGGTAAAAGCGGAATGTGGACTGATGCAGTTGTGAACCATCGACTGAGGTAGCTGAGACATGTTACGCATGCCTAGTCATCATGTGCCTCGTCGCACAATAATGGCTCAAGTAGTTTGAGGCTGGAAAGCGGTTAGAAGTGGCCGAAATAAGACGTGGCTGCTGGTCTGAGCGTTGTGGGGAAATGTAAACCTCTCGTTCAGGATTCGCATAGCAACCTGAATTGGATGTTGGAGACCGTAGGTGATATGACTCATCGACCTCATTGGGCAGATCCACTCAAACATTGTTTTCATTTTATTCGCCATATGGAATTTCACTGCTGTCTTATTCCTGTTTACTTTCTGTTCACGACTTTCTCCCTTATTTCTGTCTTTCATCGTAGTGCATTCTCACTTGGTGTGCTGATATGGGGTGTGGCAAATTTAACCGTTAAGTAGTAATACCGGGTCCCATGTGAAGCTGTAGCCCATCGTTTCAGGGGGTTAACTTTAACCATTGGGTGACGGGTTCGATTACCACTTCACCTACCGAGGTTGGAACAGCCATGTATGTTGAAATCACATATAGGATGTGATATATTGGCCTTATATTTTTGAATATTTGATTTATATCACTAATCTGTTTATCTGTTGTCAAGGCATGCGGCAGAAATCCACCGCCCGGCACTATCTACGATTTCAGCGTCACTGATATTGATGGGCAAAACGTTCTACTAAGTAAATACAGGCAAGTCGCATACAAACGTTTGAATACCAGTATCTTTTATGCAGAAATAAAGTTTGCATAATTGTGAACGTTGCTACCGAATGAGGTCTAGCAAGCACCAATTATCCTCAGCTTCAAAGATTGTATACCAAATATGCTGAGTATGGCTTTTGTGTTCTAGCTTTTCCTTGTAATCAATTTAGAGGACAGGTAACTCACCATTTGTTTCAGTATTGTATCCGAAGGAACCCGGCACCGATGAAGAAATCAAACAGCGCGTATTGGCCAAGTACAATGTTACATTTGATTTGTTCCACAAAATTGATGTGAATGGTGACAACGCGATCCCATTGTACAAGTTCCTGAAACAATCCTTGTCATCTTGGTTTTCTAGGTAAGCTTGATGTTTATTTAGCTTCTAATACGTGTGCAGCCTTTTGCAATGTATGACAGACAAGTGGGTATTTGATTCTTTTTTGTTTTACATCGAAAGTGGCTACAACAGCGCAGATGTATATAATTTTTATCATCAAATTGTTGAATATTTTCCTTATCTCTTACTTATTTACTCTCTCTTCTCATACTCTTTTTGCTACCCTAAGATCGTCCTTTTTCTATCCACCTCTTCTTTTCACGTTGCCATAAAGTTCATAAACTTTGAACCAATGCAATTCCAAGCCGGATTCTACGTTGATTTATCTGTTCATCTTTACATTACGAAAGTTATGAAACTTTTCTGTCGAAGACCACATTTTGTATTCTTGGCTGTGTGGTTACCAAATAAAACTGTGTTGACACAAGAGACGCATAGTTTAGAAACTATTTAGTTGTTAAAATATCAACATGGACCGTACAACTTGTAAATGATTTGCGAATTAGTCATGCAAATCGGATTTCACCTATTTCCCTACAGAACTCAGAAGGATTATGTACTAAATCGCTAAGACTCAAAGCACTCCTGATCAATCATATACCTTGATGTGTTAATGCATCGATACGACGTACGTTTTTGCTACCAGGATAGACGCTTTCCTTGTCAACGTGCATCCTTAGTTTTGCGAAACAGAAAAATTGAAACCATTTGAGTTCCCTCATTATAGTATAGTCTTGTTATCCTTCAATTTTTTAAGTATAAGCGTGGTTATTATTCTTACCTTTAGAAAGAATGCATCAGTATCGAAACACAGAGTGAGCATATTACGTATGTCTTTCATACTTTTGAAATATATAAGACAGTGGATTAGTGTTGATTTCCACCGACTCCTAGTTCAAGGATACATAATGTCGGGGTGCAGTGCTTTGAGCATTTCACGACATTGGAAAGATGCATCAACTGTAATGAACTGGTTGGTGAATGAACTTCAGTTCGGATACAGAAAGTTAATTAAAGACTTGCCGAATAGCATCACTTCGCGTACCGTTGATTTATGCGACAACCCACCAAGTATCGAGTATGCAGCTCAGTTACCCAGTCTTTCTCGTTGTACGACTGCTAGATGTGAATGTGAAAGTAGAAGAAGTAAGGAGGCTACAGGTTTTAGGTGGTGGGTATCTTGGTAGTATAGTAGTAATCTCGTTTGTTCGAAACACTGCGAGCGACGTTGCGGTTAAACGTGAAGCTATAAGCCAGGAACATAAGTCAGTCAACTTGCTTGCTGACCTTTACCGACTGAGATGTCGTTGCACATGCCAAGTGACTGCTTACCTAAATACACAATATAGGCTGAAGTAAGATTCGGCTAGAAGGAAGCTAAGGCTGGATCAAAAAGGATGTGGCACCAATTACTTGATGACGTTTTGAGCATAAATTATTGTTCGTAATCATATGAATGTAATCACACCACTTTCAACAACCGATTTTTATAGTCCTTTCACCTCATATTCTTGGTTCTCATTGGTAGTAAAATTTTCCATCTCTCTGGTATAGGTGTTGTGTCATTCCTATTACTTGTGTTGTCTACTGATTCAGTGTACAAATATTCAGTAATTAATCTTTCTCTCTATCTTCTAAGTGTATTGGATTTAAGTACAGTGGTTTTATCCCATCCTATTGTGTGGTTATGTGTTAATGCATGCATTGCAATAGCCGAACTTTTTTCTGGGTTATTGATCTTATTCGGGTCTGTCATTCTATATCTAGCTAAATTTCAATATTCCGCTAATCTAACTGTCATAGTTTGACCTGTGTACTTGACCTCGCAGCCATTGGATGGATTTTGATAAATTAGGTTATTTTGATCAATTGGTTTTATCAGATTATTAAACCGACGAAGCTTATCTCTAAGTTTGTAGGTTTGAATATCACCCTAATTACAGCCTTGTTGAGGATCTTACGTAAAGTTCCTGATGTTCCTTCCTAATGCGGTAATACAATAGAGACTGTAGACTCCTTTGTACTCGTGTTACTGTTATCATTTCGTTTCTTATGTGTTCGTACGAATTTCTTAATAAACGATAGGGGATAATTATTATGTACTAACTCTTCTTTTACTTGCTTCAATTACTTGTTTAACTTCCTGCAGTGACTAGTCAGTTTTCTAGCTCTATCATTTATACATTTGACTAAACCCACCTTAACTGACACTGGATGAGATGACTTAAGGTTTGGTTAAAATGTGTTGGTTTCCTGTAGACAGTAGTATTCAAACCACCGTCTGTCCTTCGTTTTATCCTGCAATCCAATATAGGTAGTTTTCCTTGTTCATATTTATATATATATATTCGACCTTCATAATGATTTTCGTCCAGTATTTTCTATATTTTACTGTAAATGTATGAGTGTTTGTTATTTTTCATTTTTAGGAATATTGAATGGAATTTCGTCAAGTTTTTAGTAGATAAAAATGGATATCCTATATCTCGCTATAGTTCAATAACTCCTCCGAATGTGAGTTCTATTGTTTTTTTTTGACTTAAACATTGTATTTTGTTGAAAATAACTACGAATAAGTTCGAAAACGAACGATATCCACATTTAAATGCATATTCTACGTCAGCTGTAATAACTGAGTCTACGGCATTAATATCTATATAAACTGTATTATGTGATACAAATTTAATTGGCTGAATAGTTATTGCCTTTTCGCAAATAAAAGTCACTTGACTTGACAAAGACCTATATCAGCTGTTTTTCTTAGTGTTTGATTGGTTGGTCATACTGTGGATCGCTGAAGTAATCATGTAAATAGACACAGATGTCTAGTTATTACTTCTTGATGATTTAGTGAATTTGTAGTCCCTTTTATTTTAGATTTCCATCAAAATGTTTTATGGTATTCCTTTTTTCATTTTTATTTCTATTTGTCGGAATTTTTATGTTGAGTTCGAGTTGTATGAGTTTACAGAAAAAAATTAAATTGCAAAGCGGACTATTCCTTAAGTAGCGTAAACCTTTTTTGCAACCATGCATGCAAAAGCGTTTTAGTGACAGCGAGTGAAAAGCTGAAATGAGTTATCAGCTATATTTGTAAAAAATTGCAGCGTGTTTGAAATAGAAACTTTACTAAAGAATTTGGGATCTGATGAGAAATTACTGAAAATAGTTACTTGCGTAAACTTTGTTTCCCAGGAATAATGTGATTGGAGGCGAAATAAAAGTCTAGAGGTCGCTGGTTCGAATCCTGACGCAACCTGGGTTTTAATTTCACTTTCAATCATCACTCAGTATCAATACAAATTTGCCAGACCACAGCTATCCCAGATAGTTAAACTGATAAACATATGATTATTACCTTTTATATATGCAATTTCATGCGAAAAATGAATGAGAGTCTAGCGAACCGACTTAGGATTAATTCGCTGTTTATTATCTTTCAACTTCAAAACACCTTATTAATCTCCATTGATTCGTTCGTTTTACTTTCATATTCATCTTAATTTCCTGCTATTTCTAGTGGTTTGTGTTCACTTGATCTATCATACTTTTGTGCTAAGTTCTGTAATATTTTCACGGTTAATCTGACTCTTCATAAACAATTTTTTGTGAATGCACAAACTGAAATATAACATCTGTAAAATACAATCGTTAACTGAAATTATGCGAGAGAAAGTACTAAGTGATCTAAGCAATCCATGTAACTAATCAAAGTAATTTAACTGCAAATTTGAGGCTAAATGATTGGTACGCCATGTTCTTGAAATACCCTAAACAAACAATTATTTATTAGTGTACAAATAAAAGATTAGGAGTGCATGATTGTAACCAAGGTTTACATTTATGAAGAAATCAACAAGTTATCAACAAATGAGGAAACGTCAGTGAACAATATTAAACTGTTATGATTTTCTAAAGTAAATATCATCTAATTAGCATCCCTTCTACTCTCCTCAATCAACAGCTATGTAGATACTATTTCTTTCAAGTTTTCAACGTCAACCCTGTCTTCGTGAGTTTCCAGAATGAAGATTATGTGTTCACATAATGCTGCAATTGATTTCCTAAGAAGATTGGAGAATAAATAAATCACTCCTATTATTTCACCTAAACTTAATAGAATAGTTGGTGCAACTTCCATTTGCAACTATGTGTCCCTCAAGAAATTAGTTTGTTTTTCAAGGAAATCAAAGCCAGTGAGGCATATTCTAACCATGATTACGACATTGATATTATTGCTCCAATCTGTGAAGTCGATAACCTAACAGGTGTTACACAGCGTTTAGCTTTCAAAAGTGAAAACAATGAAAAAAAACGTTACTTTTCTGTATTTTGGGATGATTTGGTGAAGCGCCAAGCTATATAAAAAGTTAACAAACCATATCAAAACAACCTTCATCTTTTCAGTGAAACGGAAAAGACCAATCAATTATGACGAAACCATCTCAGCGGACTGCACCTAAACAGAGGAAACCAACTGATTACTTGCACACTCGTTTAAGAAAAGTAGCGGCAAACGGTCAGCTAATCAGGTTCAACATAGGTCCACACATCCACCGGCCAACTAATCGAGCCAGTCTTAGACGAAGTGCTTTGTAGATGACAATATCTAGCAAGACATTGAAACACTTACCAACTGAAATCTCATTGTAGATAAGAACTCCTTCTGACATAAGTATATGTATATATAACTGATAAAACAGGAAACATCCAACTCCTGTCGTCCAGCACTAGGTGTAATGCAGATCGGCGAAACAGTGGTGCTAACCTACTGACTTTGATCACGCACAACCAGTCATTATAGAGTAGCAAGTGAAGGTGGGTAGTTAATCGTTCAGGCGAAAATCCCACTATAAAGTATCAAGGTCCAGCTTATTTACATCAAACGTAAAAAAGCAGCACTTACGATAAAGAACTCACTACTTATTTTTTATTATTATTCCTGATGCATACGTCTCATACCTTTATGGTTATTATGTTTGTAATCAGTACTCTACAGAAAAGCAATGTTTCTCAGATTGAGAAAAAGTCTCATTATTTGTTGAATGTTTTCTCAACTTTAAGTGTTACCCCCACTAACAGATAGAAGTTCACGTGTATTTTTAATAAGTTTACTCTTCTTCTTATGACATAAGCATTTGTTAGTTTATTTATCTTCTCCAGCTTGTAACGGTTGTGATGAAGTTTAGCGTTTGTAAAAGGAAATCCACAAGCATCACAGAAATTATTAGTCATAATCAACACTGGGTAAATATTCCGAACTGTCAGGTCCAATCAAGTTATAACATACATACTGAAGTAGTGTGAGACACTTTATTAGGTAGAAATTATACTGATCAACTATCTGGGAGAAGGATTAAAAACTACAGGAATTATCAGTAACAATTGGACTAAAATTAAAAATCATAACTATGGGATGTTAGGTCAAATATAACAATCGGGAGTATAAAAATTACAGAGATCTAAATAAAAAAGTGAAAAACATTAAACCAGATTAATTTAGAATACGACCAAGTTAAGTCAATCTACTGTGTACCTGAATTATGTTTGCAGATGGCCACAGAAGAAAAAAAACGTATGTCTGAAACGTTTTTGCACACAATTCAAGGAAAATTAATACAATGTCTAACTCTGGATGGGGGTAGGGTTTGAAAAAACAGTTTGTCTAATTATAGTCATTGAAGAATCTCTGATATTGTTTGGTAATAAAAGATGTTTCTAAACTATCCAAACCAGGATTCTAGATCGCACTGTAAGACACCATTAAAGAAATTATAACCTAATCAATAACTAAGCAATATTGAAGTATTCGCATGGGAGCCCATATGTCAACAAAGATGGGTCAATTCCATCCAGAATCACAACAAGAAATTACAAGTATCAATAACTAAATATCCACTGACTTGGTTTTTTAATTATTCATCTTACTCACTCAAACTTATCTACACCTACATCAGTCATCATTTCACATTGAGTTTTATATGATCATTGTAAATATTTAGGGCTGAAAAGATTTTTTTCTGGTTCCTCTTCAATTTTTTTTGTTGTTGGCCAGATGTACATTATAAAATATTCCCTTCTGCAGGTGGTAATATTTAATTTCTTTTTTTTCTTCTGTTCATTATTTTACAGAGTATGGAATCAGAAATTAGACAGTTACTTGGCCTTTCTAGTGAGCTCTAAAATTAGTTGATTTCAAGCATCATATCTCTGTCCTCGTATTAGCGCTTTTCTCCCTTACATGCTTTGATTTCGTTCATTCTTCACTAGATATTTGTATACTTATTTACATGATCAGTGATGTACACGAAGAGGATGGTTTAGCGATCCATTAATGATGAATATGTTTGAAAATCGTATCTACGATTAAACATATTCTGATGCAAACATCTAGACTCTGGTATACACTCTAGATGAGATCGTAAATTATTCTTTAGTGTATATGTAACTGGATCATGTTACTCTTTTTTGGATAGCCTGTTGAAAATGTCAATTATAAAAGCTTGTTAAAACATTTAGCTTTTTTTTGGCTAAAAATCGTTATGTGTACGTGCTTGCTTTAGATTTTCCGTATCTTCCTTTCTAAACACGAGCTATCTGGTGTAACCAATTACTCTTTAATTATGATATGGTTAATATATGACAAAAATCAGAAGCAGAGATTCTATCTATTAAAATGTGTTTTTTAATCTATAATCACTGAAGTTGATGTATTTATGCAGTTCTCATATCGAAGCAAAATTGTAATCATTGCTCATTATGCGTCTCACTTTTCACTATTAATAACAAAATATTCATCTAAACAAGAAACATTGGTCAATCAGTTCAAACTTTCTCCAAGGTATTTATATATTAATATATTATATATTTATTATATATCATATTTACATATTATATTTATGCATTTATATGTGCAACGATATATTTACAATTTAGTTCCGTAACCTACCTAATCAATAACCATGACTGAAATATTTTCGGATGAATTATTGCATATCCTCACAACGAAATTTCGATTATATACTAATATAATAATAATAATAATAATAATTGTGTACTTAAAGTATATTATCAATCATGATGGCTGCTTTAGAGGAATGAGGAACATAGGAGAATGCTTTTGAACAGGATCGAAGAGATGTCATAATTCATTTTCGTTACATCAGTTAATATTTGTTTTACCACATGGTACTTTAAAAATGTGGGATACACATAGCAAGAAAATTCCTTACATTTTATGAAGAAAAGCTGTATGGTGATAGTCTTATAGTTTTGATTAGTCAGTTTGAAAATAGAACCACGATATACAGGCATTGAAGTCGGTTTTCATTGAGTATGAAGAAATTTACTAATTAGGCAGTGTAAAAGTGAATATCAACTACTCAATACAAAATTAGCAGAAATTGTACGGTTTATGAATGCTTAGCACCACTCGTAATAGAACAGTTTAACTTCATAGCTTAAGTCTAATTAAAATAACGAAGAAAAACTGCACAATACTATGTGTGAATGTAGTGAACAGTCTCATTGAAACGGTGATTTCTCTCATATGCTTGAGTGAAATCCCGGTGATTGGTAAGATATTTTGATAAGGCGTTAAGAAACTTTGTGCTTCATGGGATCCTGAGACTTCAAAGAAAGTTCCTCCTATCGACTAATTTATTCTTTTCCAATTTTGAGAATTTTGTACATGGATTCTTGATTGTTAGTAAGATAAGCATGTTCTTTTATCTGAAAGGTGAGCTTAGGATAATACCAGTAATTTGACTTAGGACATTTGGGTAACTGTGCAGGAAGTGGGGAGATTTTCCATAAGAATGGAGTAGAATTCGTAAGCAGTCACGTGCTGCATATCCCATAAGTTTCTAGAAAATCATGCCAGTCTTTCAGGTTAAATATAAGACGCAAATTAATTGGTAGTCTCTCCGTGTTGAAGACCGTGTATTTGAACATTCAAGGGCGTGTTAGATGTTACGGTGTGCGCGAATACAACAGGCTTATTTGACCTTTGTCAAACTGTACCATGTATGAGGCCGCCACGATATCCGACAGCTTATTAGGGGTCAAGTGTAATATACTGCCATATGGCTGTGAATCATGGTCGTAGAGGTTAGAGAAAATGAAAAAGCCTAAATTGCTCAGTCAGCGTTGGCTTCTTGCTATAGATTGTATCATAGTGTTACCGACGTCAGTAAACTAGATTCATATTTAGAGTTCCAGGCAGTAGAAAGAAGTCAGTTAGTGCGATTGTGAACCTTCATCGCCTGACGTAGCTGACCGGGACATGTTACACACGCCTTGTAGGCGTCTTCCCCACCATTAATTATCTGAAATAGGTTTAGGTTAGAAAAAAGTTAATGGCGATCAGACAATATGGCACTAGTCCATGAAGTCTCCAACTGTTTCTACTACTTTTTCGTTTATTTTCCTTTTTTATCTTGGTGCATTCTCGCTTAATGTACTGATATAAGGCGTGGTAACTTGCAACGCTATTCGGTAACATCAGGTCCCTTGTTGTTTCTGACTGACATCACATACAGATAAGGGATGAATCAATATGAAGACAACGTTAGCAAAGCTAGTTCAAAAGACACTAGTGGTAAGGTTAGTAAGAATGTCAGACTATATTCTAATTGCAAAACGAATCATGTTTTAACATTTCAACTGACAATGTGATCATCTAATGCCTGAAATATTGTCATAATGAATAAATAATTGTCTGAAGCATTTATTAAAAATCTGTTCATAGTCATATACTTAGTAATTGCGGTCCAGGTGGATCTTATTGCTATCTGCAATGTTCATCCAGTTGTTCTTGTTGGCTCAAGTACTTGTCAGTTACTAGTGGTGTTGCTATCAACAAACTCTCAGCCAGTTTTAGATAAATTATTTCAGTGAATACCACTGCATTCAGTACCTTACCGACGTGTAAGTACTGGTAATAAAGACAAATGAAAAGAGCTGTTAAGATAGTTAAAAGTGGTTAAAGAGCAGTATATTCTTTAGTATGCAGTTGAGAATTATTTCTAAGAGAATGTTATATGTTATACGGCTAGGTTACTGAGGAATCAGCCTGACAAACATAGTGTCTAAGATCCTAAGTTCTATAATTCTCCGACGCCTGAGTGGAGCTCGGGAACAGCAAGCCCGAGAAAACCAGGCAGGCTTTAGACCTGGCCGTGGATGTATCGACCAAATATTCACACTGCGCCAGGTCCTGGAACATAGGCATGCTTACAGACGCCCGACAATAGCTGTATTTCTCGACCTGAAGGCGGCATTTGACTCCGTTGATCGAGAAGTCTTATGGCAGTGTCTGTCACTGAAAGGCGTGCCTAGTAAGTACATCACCTTATTGAAAGCTCTCTACTCGAACACTTGTGGGCATGTTAGAGCCTATGGTGAGTTGTCCAGGGAGCTATACTCATCAAGTGGTGTCCGTCAAGGATGCCCACTATCCCCATTCTTATTTAATTTTATCATAGATATTCTTATGGAGGTTTCCCTCTCGTCACCTAATTACAAAGACGTTGACCGGATCACAGGTGAATTTTCCTTAGATCTAGAATATGCAGATGACATAGTCCTGTTAGGTGAAGACGCTGACAAGATGCAGAGTCTTCTGAACACTTTGAGTGGGAATTTGAGAATGTTTGGGATGCGATTTTCACCACCCAAATGCAAATTTTTGCTCCAGGACTGGTCTTCAGCGGTACCGCGGTTAACAATAGAGAGTGAAGTGGTTGAGTGTGTTGACCACTTCACTTACCTGGGAAGTAGGATCAACCCGGTGGGTTAGTTGCCGATGAGATTTCTGCACGGATACAAAAGGCTCGATTGGCTTTTGCCAATTTGCGCCACCTATGGCGCCGCCGTGATATTCGTTTGTCTATTAAGGGTCGCGTGTACTGCACAGCAGTCCGCTCTGTTCTACTGTATGGCTGTGAAACATGGCCATTGAAAGTGGAAGACATGAGAAGGTTACAGGTATTTGACCACCGTTGCCTTCGTAGTATAGGACGTATTCCGTGGTGTCACCATGTGAGTAATGCAGAAGTTAGGTGTAGAGTTTTAGGGAGAAGAGGTAAGTCAGTCGACGAGGTTGTGAACCTTCATCGACTGAGATGGTTGGGACACGTACTACGTATGCCTAGTCACCGATTGCCTCGTCACACAATGTTGGCTGAGGTGGGTTCAGGCTGGAAAAAGGCCCGAGGTGGCCAGACTAAAACATGGCACCAATGTATGAAGTCTCTGACTGTTGGTTTAAGCCATGTAGGACGATGCAGACTAGGTGGTTGGGGTCCACGGGACAAGAGGAACCAGTGGTTGGAGACCCTAGGTGATATGGCTCAGAACCGAAGTCAGTGGCGCAGATGTATACACACATTATCCTCATCTTAACAACGCTATACCGAATCTCACTATTTTGTCACTCCTCTTTCCTTTCTTCTCGTACTTTATATTTCTTTTGACTGCATTCACTTATCTTCATCCTTCACCTCACTACCTTTTTACTTGATGTGCTGATATGAGGTGTGGCAACTCGGACCGTTACGCAGTAATGCCTGGTCCTATGTTGATAATGATGATGATGATGATGATGAGGTTACTGACTCTGATGATGTCATTGTTCACTGGCATACAACAGACGCGAAATTCCGGCGATCCATGATTGCATACCTACACACTGAAACAAAACTTACAAGGTTAATAGTACGCATCAACACTTTAGGAGATTATTGTTTATTTCAAGCCCAATGGTATTTTGGTGCCAAGAACCTCCACTACATACTACTAAAGTACGATTCGTTAGTAAATATCGAACAAGAACATAAATTCAGACGAGAAACAGTATAAATATGTATCCAAAAAAAAGATTGTAGGAGTTCAATCTTGGATAAATAAAACGTGGTAACTTGTGAATTATGAGTGATTTCAGCTACTGATGCATTTCAGTCTTTCCGGTGTATTTCCAATCACTAATATACTACCAAAATGACTCTTGTGTTCCAAGTTGTTCTATTTTGTATTACACCTACTGGATCTGAGTAACTCAGAAATAAAAAAAGTCATGGTGAAATGAACGAATTTTCGTTTATTGATACTTGTAACTTCCCGTTGATATACTGGGTCGAATTGCTCGACCTCTGTTAGCAGATGGGTTCTAACATAGATGCATAGACACTGTCTGAATATTCATTAGGATGTAGTTTACTTGGTAGCTAAGTGTGGGATCTAGGATGCATGTTTCTACCTATTTGGAACTCGTCAGCTGGGTGTACCTGCACCCTAATTTTGCAACCAGAAGTTGCAAGTATAGCAAAACAACAGCTGATACCCATTTCCCAAGAGGTGGCTGTCGTATCTGAGTGGCCCAGTGGATAATACTTCGGTTATTGAAGTGATGGTTTTCCAGTTCGAGCCCCAGTAAGAACACTATCACTTCCTGGGTTGCAGATGCATCAGTCTGACGAGTCCCGAACAGGACGAAACGCGCGTCCTGGATTCCGCTGTAAACCAATAAATAAACTACAAAAATGGATTTTTATTCTGTTTTTCCATCACATTCACTGGGATGTTATGGTTTTCGCAGTGCCGTTTCTTTGTTCACTGTTCATTAGTTATCAGGTTTACACATGACTTAGAAGACAGCAAATCATGTGACTATACTTTTATATTGGCCTGAATATAGTCACTTTTATGCTAAAAAAAAAACCACTCGTTCATATTGTATGAAAAAAGTATGATTTTTCTACTTCACATTCAGATATACTTGCGCATTATGTGAACATCATCATGTAAACAATATTTTCTACATCCAATCATGTTAATGTAAAGTTCTCTTATCGACCAATATCACAGTAAAAAGTGTGAAACGTTGTTTACATTACAATATCAACTTTAGACACAACCTATATGTAGGGGTAGAATTGAGTGTCAACAATGCCACTCACGGAGGGGTTTCGATTATCCGAATGCTGATGTTTACAACATTTCAATATTGAATATGAAACAATAATGTTTACCATTTTATACGTTATTATAAATTATATCGATAATATTAAATGCAATCAAACGGTTCCATTTGTTTTCAAGTGGGTATTTACCATGGATTGTCATCAGTTGGATGGTCTGCCTAAAGTACACAAGCCTGGACTGCCTCTTCGTCGAGTTTTAGACATGTCCAACTCCCCATGCCACGCAGTTGCTAAATGTCTAGTAAGGATTTTAGATCCCTTACACAAAGAATTAGTTAACCACAGTGTAAAAGACGTCTTCGAATTTATTTCTAAGCTAGATATTGTGAATGTAAACGGAAAACATATGATGTCGCTTGATATCTCATCATTATTCACTAATGTGCCATTACTGGAGACGATAGAGTTTGTCTGTCAACAAATGTCGGAAAGGCAAATCAACGTCGGGATTGCTATACACATCCTCAAGTAACTGCTTCTTAAATGTACTATGAATGTACTTTTTGTCTTCAATAGCTCTCATTATAAACAGATTGATGGGATAGCTATGGGTTCACCACTCGGCTCGATTTTAGCAGACATTTCTTGCCAAACTGGAGAATGGAGCATTGAAAGAGGTCATTAAGGAGATGACTATGTATCACCGTTATATTGACGACATATTCGTTATCCTGGATCAGAATGTGCATACAAACGAAGTGTTAAGAAAATTTATTGAAGTGCACCCTTTACGCACTTTCACTTGTGAGGAAGAAAATGCCAGTAAACTACACTTCTTGGATGCCTTGCTAAGCAGAAGAGAAGATGGCTCACTCAGTAGATGTGTTTATAGGAAGACCACATCCATAAGTCAGTATACACATTTTATTAGTCATGTACCAATTCGATACAAAGCAAACCTGGTCAAAAGCCTCAGTAACAGAGCACGAAAAATGTGTTCGGATGATCAAGTACTGAAGGAGTTAGATTATATCGTAATTCATTAGTTGAAATGGATTACCATAACAGTTTCATAAAAATACACATGGACAAAGCCATGGAGAACAAACCTGGTACTATTACCATACAAAAGAAACCCTTATTTATAAAATTGCAACTCAATGGGGATGTGGCTGGAGAAGTTTTATACCAAAGACTCTCTAGAGCCATTAAAAGGACCTACTACGCCGCACACCTTTGTCTATCATTTTCCAGTCGACCAACTGTTACTGCTCAGATAAAAGATAAGTTATCTAGTTTTGCCATTTCTATATGTATTTACAATTTTAACCGCTCCTATGGAGAAAGCTATATAGGGCGTACTACTAGACAACTTAACAAACGTTTTACTGAGCATCTGCCTTCATGGTTGGGGAAGGGACATAAAATCTATCAGAAGCTCAGTTTTATCTCACCTCGTTGATGGTGGTCACTCGGTAGATAAGAACATTGCTTTCACGATTATACACCGTATACCATCTCATCTTTCGAAAGGTATTCAAACTCGTCTGCTACACATAACAGAAGCTGTGGGAATTCGAGCTAATAATCCTAGCTTTTGTGTCCAGAAGAAGTTTGTACATCCGTTATCTCTCCCTTGGGCAGGGAATGCTTAGTTAATGACTCTGTCATTCAGTTTTTATCATTATTTTTCCCTACCCCTTTTCTTATTCTTCACCCCTTTCGTATACTTGCTGTATTTGTCTAGGCTTTGTTTATCCACTTACCTCGCCCTTCACTATTACGCAACTTTTATTTTCACAAGCTTTTGACCCATTTTGATTATCGGAGTGTCTACATTTTCATGCTGCTTTCTTGGTTCTTATCATTATTATCATCTATATTTCATATGCTTTAATCAACGTTATCACTTTTCAAGTTGTTATTCATCGAAGACTGACATCAGTTGGAGGAACAAAGGAAACCTGGGAGCACTGGACAGCTGTTTCGTCCTATCAATTTCATTATTATTATTTTTATTATCTCCATCGTTATATTAAACATTTATCACATCAATCGGCAAATCTACATGATTGGTTTATATATATATATATATATAAGCTATTTGTATCAGAGTAAAGCCTGAAGAGTATCTAATTGAAAACAATATTATTCGCTTATATGTCTTGTTCTAATATGTGATGCAGATAAAGAATGTTAATAACCATTCATTCAGATTGTGTAATTCTACCTAAAATTTATGAATATACATGATAATCAGTTTGTAATGTTCCTTCTCCTCCGAAAGTTTTAGGTGGTTGTCTTATCCAACTTAGAAGTTGATAGAGACCTGACTGGTTTCCTGATGAATGGATATAAGCTAGAGAAAAAATGAGAAGCAGGAAAAACCGCAAAGATCTTTGTTTGTAGCGAGACTTAATGCATTTTGGAAGCAACACAATACGAAAGCTGGATCATGTTAGCTCGTAGATACAAAATAAACAGGCAAATCGTTATGTGTTAAAAAGTTCATAACACTACACTTAATTCGTTATGACGTCGAGAGTGACGACTACTAAAAGATAAGCATTTTAGTTCAGTTGTTGAAGGAGAAGAGAATGTTCGTATCTGTATTTAGTGATCCTAGTGTAAAATATGATTAGACTTCGGTGGACTGGTCCATAACTTACGGTTATTGCTTTAAGTATTCATTGATACAAGGTGGATTGAAGAAAACATAGCTCAATCAAGGAAATTACCTAGTAGTTGTCTGATCAGCAGTATGAATCAACTATTTTTCTTTATTTTAACGTACTGCTTACATTTTTATAATACAGTACTTGGAATTTTCGCAAACAACTTATAATTCATTTTTAATTGGTAACACTAACAATTTGTCAGGTCAGTCACTTAAAGTAACTTCATTTAACTCTATTTTCTTCAAAAATCCCCAGAAGGAGAATGTAATTGTGAAAAAATTTCTTCAGTAACTTAATAATTCCCATTGTAACAGAAAAAAACAAGATATTCAGTGAAGAGACTTTTTACGACGAATTTGTTTTCAAGCTGTACAATCGTATATATATGATGTTTGAAAAATTATATCCCATGTGGAAAGCTAAACAATATATGATGATGATGATGATGACAATAATAATAGAGCGGATGATGACATTGGCATTTGTGATAATGATAATAATTGATGTGTGAATGATAACAAAGTAGATTAGGTAATATGTGGAATGGTTCATAGAACGTATATATAACTCAAAAGGGGGTGGAAAAAAAAGATGAGAGTGATAAGTCAATTAAGTATTGGACAAGTTGGTCAAGATGAAATCATTGTTTTCTAAAAACATTAAGACGATTAAGTGAAATAACACCGGAAACTAATCAAAGTGAAGGCAATTGTAATAACAATAGTAGAGATAAATGAAGAATACAAAGGTTAAATTAACAAAGGGGTAGAGGAAGTTAATGGGGTGGGGAAATGTTACGGTCATGATATACATACTTCTTTGTACACACAGATCAGGTTTTAGTTCATGAATAGCTAAAGCCTCCGCTGTTTTAAGGAGTTGAAAGCGAAGAAAACGTGGGAGGTTTGAGCGAATTTGATAAATAATTTTAAAGTCATTGTCTAGGTTTGTTCAGTGTTGGAAATCAACCGAGTGTTCTAGAATCGAACTTCTAACAGACTTTCACCTTTATAAAACCAAGCAGAAACATGTTCTCGTATACGTGTAAAAAGCATTCTCTGGCTACGACCGATGTACCTTGCTCCACAAGAGCAGGTGAACTGGTAGATGTACACAGAAGCAGCCAAACGAGTTATATACCTGAGTTCATATTTGATATGTTATAAGAATGTAGTCTGATCATAATGTTGATCCATGACAAGTCATTGACTGAGCGCAAGGGATAGTCTAGAAGCGGATGAATTGGGTATAAACTAGAAACGGAAAGAAATATTCTGCATTAAGTATCAGATGACCTTGTCAATGTGAGAAATATAAAACGCACTATTATTACTTTTTGTTCCAAATTAAAGTGGCTAGCTGTTGACGGACAACTTGATGGCGTATGATATTAATGATGTTCTTGGTGAATTTGTATGGTGATCTCAGTTTTATCAACACAATAAAAATATATGCGATGAAGTGTTTAACCTGAACAGTTTCCCCCAAAATTTGCCCATTCACTTGTTCTACCTACACCGCAGTGTCAATCAAACTCACAGTTTCATTCTTAAATCAGCAGCCAATGCAGAGACAGGAAAATAAAAGCAGACTGAACGACTCACCAACTGCATCTACAGACAGTTTTTTACACTGAGAAAGAAATCCTCTTAAGCTCACTACAAGGATCCGAGTAGTTTCGACTAGTTTTGTCCTGTGCAAATATGATACTATGGAGAGAATACGTAACTTCCTTCGGTCAAATTCATTATTTATACGTCAAAAAATACTGTTTCCGGCAACAGTTCACTTCAAGGATCTGTAATAGTCCGCGAGTCATGAAATAGCAATGGTTGGCATTAATATTCTTGATCTCGGAAACGTTGAATCCATGATAACATAGAACCAATCATATAGTTCAGTGATTTCCTTTATTACACTTCACAACAACATAGAAAGAAAGAAAGAAAGAGAAGATCAACAGAATTATATACATATTGCAATATAGAAAGAAAAAGGATGTCATTCGTGGAAATCAAAAATACCCAAGAATTTAAAACGATTCAGAGTGACTATCTAGATCACTGCTGTCGACTTGGAAACATCTTACCTTCAATTATGAAATAACCCCAGCTCATGCATTGCATCTACGTAGCTTACACATTCCCACACAGTTTATACAAACAGTAAATAAACTTACAGATCAGTGTGTCTTGCCGTGACCACCCTCCGTTCTTTTTAAATATGACTTTACTCCGATCAGCATCACATTCTGCGTTTAACAATGATTCGGTTTACGTAATGCATGTCTCAGACATCTCATTTAATGCTAGCTAACAATCAAATTAGATGGCTTGCAACTATTGCCAAAAACTGCACTTCTGGTTTGAAGTTTGCTCATCATGTGATTCCAACACACTCAAACAGTGCTGCGAATACAGTTATGGTCGGGAACACATAGTTGCATAGTAGTATTCATCACGGGGTAACATCAGCTAAAGAACCACAGGAAGGCTGGACTGGTGTTCCACACTACTATCGAGGTCTTCAACAGTTCTCACTCACGAAGTCGAGACTAGGTTTCGCAGGAAATGTGTTAGCCATTCAACAGCTGAGTCAGAGTTTAATGGTTTATTTCCTTACTCCTGTCAATTCGAGACATAGCAAGGCTATCCACCAACATCTTCAGTTGGCATCCACTTGGCCTTCGACTAGTTGACCCTACAGGTCACGGCTTCTCATCACAACTTCGGGACATCCATCTCGATCCCTGGTAGGGTGGTAAGTGTGAACTGTTGAGAAGTTCGATACTAGAATGAAATAGGTATCCGATGCTCCTAGGTTTTCAGTGGTTCTCCAACTGCCGTAAGTCCATGATGAATACTTTGCTGAAATAAGTAAAGTGCCAACAAACCTCAAACTACATAGTTGCCTAGTTTGATTCATGTTCAATCGTAATATTTTACAACCACTTAGAAACGACTGCTGTACAACATACAGTTCGATAGGCAATCAGATGTTTCATCATTACCGTGGATACCGGGTTCCGAAGTGAGTATTCTGTAAGCTAGGAGAAGTGGAAGATGTGTTCAGTTACTTCATTAAGTTTTCCTAAAATGCATTTCAGTATGGGCCTATCCCACAGCACCTTCTTATGGTTAATATTCTTCTGTCTTTCAGAAGTTTCAACTGTTCATTAAGTCCTCCCTGGTTCTTTTCATTTCTGAAAATTATTTTTGTTTGAATATAAATAAAATCTCCAATACTATAATCCTTGAATTTTTATGAAGATGGAATATAAATCAAAAAGTATTTCAAGTTTGTATTCATCATGGATATGAGGACAGCGACTGAACGATGACATTGGATAGAGGTCGTCCTATATCGTGGACAGATAGAAGAAGGAAATGT